ACAAGGTGCATTCATGACGAAAGCTTACTTCGAGTCCACAAAGGTTGGCATCTTATCAGTCCAGTGCACAATCATGAATCCCTTGTCACATCGGTGCAAACTACAGCGATGCAACAGAATATGAGGTTTCGTCTGAAGCAGCTTAAAAGCTGCAAGGAAACACCACGTACCTTCGACAAAAAAGAGTTGCTTCTGCTGCATGTGCTGCTGCCTTTGCCAGAGTGGTCTTGCAACATCTGCACAGATTGACCCCAATAAATCCGTTGTTCAGGAAAGCAAATCACCCTCTTTGCCAAGCCAAAGTCAGGAAATAAGCTACGCTACCAGTTGTCCGATGACCGGTTGTTCTGGCCGGACAGCATGTGTGGAGTCGTCCGGGATCCCGGACGACTCATTTTTTCCAAATCTGGAAAGCAAAAAAAATAAAAGGGGGGGGGGAAGGGGCTGCGCACCACCAGGGAACCCCCCAAAACAATTTTGAGGCCTTTCGGAGCAAAAAAAAAAAAAAAAAAAAAAAAAAACGGAAAAAGGTGCTGGGGTGGGGAAGGGGGTGGAAGGCGTTGCGGAAGGCCCCGATGCTGCTGCTCCAGCCGCAGCATGTGTCTACACACTACCTACACACACCACACAGACACTATCCACACACACACACACACACACACACACACACACACTGTTACATGCCCAGATGGGCGATGTACATAATAACCGAAGATCCGGAATGTGATAAAAAGGACTGAATGGACAATGCAGTGCAAGTAGAATCTCAACAAGCAATGTGCATTCTGATACATACAAATGGTGCTGAATAGCGCTAAGTCCTGATCTGACCGGGACTGACCTCGTTCACGTAGTACAAGATAGCGAAGCAGAATGCTAGAATGCTAGTGACTAGCCCCATCAATGTTTGAACGCAGACCAAACATACATCGTGTCCATCACCAAGTCTGAAGGAGCCTGGCGCTCTACACAGGAAGGAAGCGCCAGGTCCAGACATACATAGACGAAGAGGAGGGGATCAGACGAAGAGGAGAGGGAGAGATGGGAATGTTGTCAACACCAAGTCCTTGTCACAAGTCCCAAATAAGCCCTCGTTGCAATGTCTGAAGCCCAAAAGTTGAGTCTGGATCCAATGTCACCAAGCTCTCTCTCTCTTCTCTCATAGTCTGCTGATGCAGTGAAGTCAGATGATGAGAGGGTGAGAGGGGGATGGTGGACTGAGAAGAGGAAGAAGAAGAACTCTCTCTCTCTGTTACGAGCCAGATACAAACCTGTGAAGTTGGCGCTGTGCTGCAGGTACCTCGAAGACGAAGTTGGAGCAACGGCGCTGCAGGTAAGTACCTCTGGCCTCCGCCCRAACTCTCTCTCTCTCTAGTGCTATCCTAGCTATGGCGCCCAGCGCTGGAGACTACAGCTACCTACTGCGCCCAGCGCTGAAGACTAAGGCTAACGCTACTACTACTCCTGCAGCGCTCCCTCCAGAGTGCTGCTGCCGGATCCTGAAGACTACTGCCTCCTGCCTCCCCGTGAAGTGCATGGGAAGTCCCTATGTACTACCTCGGCCTGCCTCCTGACTGCCTGAAGGGCGAGCCAGGCCGAGGAGGCTGCTCTTGCCAATGCCGAAGTGTGCCAGGGGCTGGAGCTGCAGTGTTACATACTTCAATGAGTATGGGCAGAACCAAAGATCAACCAATGCAGGATGAGCATATATGCAGCAGAAGTCTGATAAACGGACTGACTCACATAGACTGACTCAAGAATCACTCCACACACATACAATCGTGAGATGGTGGGGTCTGGGCAAAGCATGGACGATGCCCAGATCCCGTACACTCATACACAGATGAAAGGTGGGAGGAGAGACAAAGGAGGTGGGGGAGGTAGACAGCACCGGTAGGTCACCGAAATAGAATCCGATAGGTCACCGATATGGTAGTCCAAAATGTCATCCAACAAGATCAAAATGTCGAGGACAATCAGTCACCAATGTCGGAGATACAGAGTCCAAATGCAACCGGTGTCCGAACTGTGATGCCGCCAAGTATCAACCCCAACAATCTCCAAGTCTCCAGTCCGGTAAGGACCACAGTCTCATACCACCGAAATCCAACACTGATCTCTGTCCAACTAGTATAAGTCTCCAATCTGAAGAAGAAGAAGAAGAAGAAGAAGAAGAAGATGGAGTCTGAAGAGGAGAAGAAGAAGAAGAAGAAGAAGAAGAAGAAGAAGAAGAAGAAGAAGAAGAAGAAGAAGGAGCCGAGGAGAGAGAGAGAGAGAGAGAGAGGGGACTGGCGAGGGGAGGGAGGAGAGAGGCCTCCAACTCCCGATACCTCAGGCGGCTATGGCCGCCGGCCCACTCAGTCGCCGCTGCTGCTCCTCGCTGCTCCTGCGCTAAACTTAGCGCCAGCGCTGTATCGCGCTGTACCATACCGTACCGGTAGAATGCCGGTAGGTCGATCCCTTCGACTCAGGCTGGACCAGTTCTTTATACCGGTGGGGCAGAGGCCGGCCTCAATGCTGCGAGGCCTGGCCGTGCCCTGAACCGTCCAGATGGACGGTTCAGCCCCAACCGGCGGGCGGCAGCCGCAAGAGCGCCGCCAGGCCCAAACGGTAATGTCGTTTGGGCCTGCCCATCGGGTCTGGTCCAAGGTGAGGCCTTTACGGCCTGTAGTACCCCCCAAGGTCGGGCCTTTGG